ACTTCAAGTATTCAAGAACCTCAAACAGTCTAGAACTTCTAGCAGTTTAGTGTCTTTGTAGTATAATCAGTCAAAACCAGCCTTTTTCAAAAGTTCAGATGTGTCTTTTAACTGCTTAATATACGAGATCAAAAAATTTTAGATCTCTACACCGTTGAAGACATAAAAGTTTCAAAAACTCATATAGAACTTGACGATAGCTTGAATCACCACCTCAGTTGTCTTTGTTTCCCTTTCTCTTGACTGTACAATGATTTTAACATTTTCTTTCCAAAGCAGGGATAGTCCTAAACTTAAGATATTCAAACTATACTCTGTATCAAACCTATGCCTCGATTTCATGTAGTACACTACCGAATTTTGTATGAAAAAGTCGATTCATATCAGATCGATTTCATCAAAAACTTATGTCAACTTCAAACGATGCCTAAAACGTTTGCATTGAAAGGCAGAAAAATACAATTTAATCCGTTCAGCCTTTAACATTTTTTCCAGATATAAAGAGGATACCATAAAACATTATAACCTCAATCATATTGAAAGCAGAGCAAAAAAATAAAGTATGAGATTATTGATGTTTACAAGTAAGTCTACCTTTCAAACTGTTTTCTTATTCCTCGAAAGAAATAATAAGCTTTCATATACAGGTATTAATGCTGAGCATGATGATTGACCTAGATATAAATAGATTTTTTTTTTTAATCCAAAGCAAAAATTGTTAAAGTTCTTCACAAAATTACTATTCACAAGTTAGGAAACTGTTTCCGACACATTCCATGAAAGACAAGAATGCAGACAAAATTGTTTTGGTTTTTCTATTGAGAGAATAGAATGTAATGTAGGGTTTTGCTAATAGCAAAAGCGGCACTGCGATCGATGATCTGTTGTACCATCCCAAGTCCCCTATGTTAGAATTCCGATGTCCTTAATGAAGCCAATAATGTCCTGATAATGCTGCTTATTTATATCCTCATCATTCAAATAGTCCTCATCAAAATGCTTGACACATTGTCCTCGTAATGACCTACATTTACAAAGTATATGAATGATTGTTTCTTCATTCACATTACAAAACCTGCAAATTTTACTGTTAGACAAATTCAATTTAAAAAGAAAACTATTGATACTCATGTGTCCTGTCAAAGCACCAATTAAGATGCTTAGATCTTTCCTTGGTAGTCTGAGAGCATCCGATATTTTATTCTTATTTTTAGGACCAAGAAGTCTTTTGGCTGTCATGGCTCCTTCCTCTAAATTCCAGATGCGAAAATGCTGTCTCTCCATCCATTCTCGTATGTCTGACTTCAACAAGCCAAACCCATAGTTCGTCGACTTGTCATAAGCTTCATTGTGTACCGCTTCTTTAGCTAATTGATCAGCTGTTTCATTACCTTCAATACCACTGTGTCCAGGTATCCATTTTAGGATGACTTCATTATCTTGCCCCAATGCTGTTAAACAAGAAATTGAGAGACTAGAGAGCGTCTTTGACATCCTCAAGTGGTTTGAGGATTTACAAAAATGAAAGTAAATTTTTATTTCTTTTGAGAACAAAGGAGAACAGATAAATCTGATGAAAAAGTTTCTTAAGCACGTGTCGTATTTCTAATTTCTTGATCAAGCACGAAATGCCTTAAAAATTGGCACATCAAGAAGAAATGTGAGAACTTATTCGTGCCATTTTTACTTGTGTTATTCATTACTGGGGGATAATAAGTACGAAAAGACTTTGCAGAACTGCCAAAGATTCACTTTTTAACTCATCAATGACAAAAACAGATTCAAGCTGTGCTAATAGCATTCAACTTCTGCACCATTTTCTATTTCATTCACTTTAGTCAAGGATCTCTTGTTCTCTCACTAATCACATCTCTCTTTTTATCACGCATCATCTGAAATGACATAAGCACGTCCCGAAACATGTTCATTAAATTTTTGCAATTCACTACATCACAAATGAATGTTTAGGAATTGTATGGAGTGAGGGTGGAGGAGAAAAAGTTGAGGTTATTAAATGTCGGGCTTAAAAAATCGAGGAATATTGGAATTTACAAGAAGTTTAAAGATTGACAAGCTTTGAATCAAAGTGACACAAAGTTCCATGTAAGATTCATGTCCTAGATTCAACATTGAGTTTGCAGTTCATACTTTATTTTGATATGGAAAGGTCATCTGAATTAATGATCACCAAAAAAAGACAATCATATCTTAGTTTTATCTTCTTTCCACACTCTATTAATCTCATTCTGGTTGTTAACCAGCTTAAGTTGTAAGCTTAACACTGTAAACTCCGACAAACTCAACTGTTTCAACTTGTTCAGTTGCCCTTAGAAGAAAAAAAACCAAAAAAAAACAATTCCAGACAGCATGTATGAATCTCATTCATAGAAAATAAGAAGAAGATGAGACAAAAATGAGTTGTGTTTATAGATAAAGAAAAAAAAACAAAATATTTTCATACTATGCAAAAAGTTACATCTCTACATTCCGCCATAACATTCCACAGCTATGGATGTCAAGTGGCAAGAGAAAGATTTTCATCTCATTTATGTCATATCATGAAATTTTTTTTTCAACATTGCTTACAGCAGTAAAAAAAGTTCTTGTGGTTATGATTTTCACTCGTTTTCAACTCAAAAACTAAAGAGTGGAAAAAATGAATCAGTAAAGCAATAGCATGGGATTCAAATACTTATAATAACTATTGCTGAGTGCTTTTGATTGGTTTTTGAAATTGTGAGTGCAGCACGTAAGCAGAGTTTTATGGAAAATATTTTTGAATTATGGTTGAGACATGTTGGATGAGTAAAATAGTCAATACAATAGAGTAGCTAGGCTAGTGTCCCACCCTCCTTCTTATTAGAGATGTTTTTGGACACTAACTGAATCAAAATGTTTAACACATCCAAGTTGATGATGTTCCATAGCAAGCTAGTCATCAGTCTATCTTCGCAAAGTTAATTGCTAAAGGGGCCATTCACTTATTACGTAACGCGTTTAGGGGGGGAGGGGGGTCTAAGATTTTGTTACGGTTCAAAAAAGGAAATTTTTTTTTCATACAAATTTTGTTACGAGGGGGGGGGGGTCTAAAAAGTAATTTTTTCGCGTTACGTAATAAGTGAACAGCCCCAAAATTCCATTCGATTTCAAACCAAAACTGCATATTAATCCCATGAATCCATCATACAGCTATGTAAATATCAACAAAGATTTTCGGACTATTTAGTTCATAATCTTTTGGTGCCTTCAAGCTATTAAATAATCAACAAGCTATTGCACTACTAGTTGCATGCTGAAAAATAATTCAAAACCTACACAATGATGTAAAAGTGAACTGTTTACTGCTGTTTACTTTCAACCTTTTCATTCAATGTCAGTATTAATAACTTTCAAGTATAGACATTACTTTATTCATGCATTATTCTTTTCAACATGTAAATACTTAAACAACGTTGAAATATTGACGTTAAAATGAGAAAAATAATCCCAACATTCCTTTATGTAAGTTCTGCTTAGCATTGTATGGAAATGGATTGTTTATTAGATCTTTAGGGGTAGTTCAATCATTTAACAAGTAAGTATTGGTTTTGAACAGCGGTGAAATGGCATCAGTGTCCTAAATGGTAAAGCATTGGCTTTGTCTAATTTCGAAGCTCTTTTTCCATTTCGCCGTTCTAGTTTCGAAGCTCGGTTCATTTGCTGGGTTTAGTATTGATGTCTTTCGCCCAGAATATGCCACCTTTGCTTGGCACACACGGATATACTAGCATCTGGATGACTTCCTTACGGCATCTTGCACACACGAATTGTGACTAGGTACATTGCAGAGTACTGATCAGGTCTTATGACGTACTCGTGTATTTGCAATGTACAGAGCTTGCAAGTGGTTCGAATCCTACTTTAAACTGTAGATCTAAAGGGTGTGGTACAGTAGATTCTTTACAAATTAAATCGCAGTGGTTCCAGCTGCAAAGCTTTTTATTTTGACATAAAAGTCTGAAGCTTTAAAATACACAATTCATGCTATATTCTATGAATAAATGAAAGCTTTCATCATTCAAAAGGATACAAAGTAAGCAAGCAAGTGATTTATATTTATTTCATTTCAGGTTGGAAGCTCAAGATAAGAAAAAAAGGAAATTTCCTTCTTCCATATTCAAGCTGCTGCTGATGATGATGATAATGACGTGTATTGCGGTCAGATCTCAAAATGAAACTAATGAGATACTCAAGTATGTTCTCAAGAGTTACTAATTATGGGATGCTTAATAAAAATGCATTGCATACTTTGAGTATTTACATTGCCAAGCAAATAAGCATGGAACTTGAAAAAAGATTAAATTTCATTCAATGTAATAAGGATCATTCACAACCTCTTGTAAGTTCTTTGCATTTGTTGAGATTCTTCCATATGATACGCTGTGTAAATACTTCAAAAAATTATTTATATCATACAGAAGCTGGAATTTTTTTTGTGGAGGGGATGTATTTGGATTTGAATTGATTTAATAATAGCACAATGGGTCTATTCTTGGAAAACATCCGGTTGCTGCTCTGTATGGGATAAATGTTTGGATTTGTTCGACTTGAGACAGTATTAAGGACCGAGTGGCGGTAGATTGGCATGTTTTGAAAGTTTGGATTATGTTTGACAGATGCTGTGATTTCAACTTTTAGATGACATGCAAGCTGCAGCGATAAAGAAACTACAACAAGTGCTAGACTATACCAGAAGTGTTGCTTTGAATTTTCTGCAAGGTGGAATATTGGTAGACTCAAATTAGGAGTTGAAAAGTACAGCTGCATCCCTACATCTAAAACCTCACAACTGATCTTTATAATCAACGAAATGAACAAATAAGCTCAAGTAATGACGTTAGAGACCAGCTGATGTTATTAATTTCCTCAACAAAATGAACCAAAAATATTTTGATCAGAAAATTTAAAATTTGAGTGTCACAAAAAGCGAGCAAGACACAACCTTTTTCTTTTTGCTATGTAGAATTTTTACTTACAAGTTTCCTACCTTCGCATCAATATTTATGAACGAGCACATATTTACACATCAAGTTAAGTGGGTGTTGATCAAATATTGAGAATTCTTATGCATACATGATTGAATTTTTGGGGAAAAAATAGATGTGAATTGTATGAAAATACTTGAACTACCTAAAAATGTCTAGAAGCTTTTCGATGCTTTTTTTATTATTTTGGGTGAAATTTGACAATTTTGAGGATTTTCATATTACTATGTAAGGCACTCGATACCATAATCCCCTTTGCATGGCCTTGGAGCTTACTATTGCACTTCCTACGCCCTTGGAAGGAAGAAAACCAGTGCAAATTTCACATTGAAATAAAAAATCTTGAATTTCTGTGCCAATCAGATAAGGTTGAGTCAGATCTCCCCAAAAAATTTGTTTTTGTGGGTGTCTTGCTATGAACAAGGGTGTGAAACTGAAGAATTACATTTCGATAATTTTTGATCATTTTTTGATCATTTTTGATCATTTCTTCAGTACCACACCCTTGGCTATGAACTATTGCTCAAAATGAGAAAAGAAGACACAGAAAAAGGATGAAAACAGTAACAACATGACTAGAATTTCCCTTAAAAATCTTCGTCTCAATGGATACGTCCCTGATGTGAGTGTTAATCCTTACTTTAATTTTGAATACCTTGTCGATTATAAAATTGACAACAAATTTTATGTTTGCGATCAATACAGATTTTCATGCAAAACAACTTTCATATCTCATGCATAAGTCTTCGAATCAAGGCGTGGAAACTATCCCAAATATCATATTTATCCCACATATCCCAAAAATATTCAAAAAATTCCTGAGAATGTATGTACGATGATAAAGATATCCCAACGTATCCTTAGTGTATTGGACGTGTAATTTCAGGATATGATGGGATATCTCAATTCTAATGCATACAGGCTCAGGGATTATTTTGAATATTTTTGGAATATATGGGATATTTGGGATAGTTAAAACGCCTTGCTTCGAATTCATCGTTGCTTAGCAAAAAAACTTTATTTGGAATCTTTTAATTCCAAACTCTTTGTTTGGTTTAATTTTAAAGCTCAACAATTTTTGTTGTGCCTTAAGCAATTTCGAATTAAATCCCTCCAACTTCCATATTTTTTATTTGCAATAAATCTCTTTCATTTTAGATTATTCGTAAAATATTCCCATGGCATGAAAAAATTTTTTGTTAACATTATTACAACCTGATAAATGATAGATATAGCTTCATTTTACTGCTGGGAAATGAGATTGTACATTACGTTGATTATATGATATTAATTTGCCTGATTGCAAATTCATTAAAAATGATAATTTGTGGAAAAATTTATCAACATAGTAGATTGGTTTTTAAAAGTAAATTTAAATTAATTAAAGTTTCCAAATTTCTTGTGGCTTTTAAAATTATCAGTTGACAAAATTGTCAGTTCTGCAAACCAATTTTGGTCATCAAAATTTTCAACAAATTTAATTCCAGTCAACAGATAAAAATAAAACATTTTCACATTGTAATCTACCCAAACACATACAAAAGCATGGCAAGAAGTGTAAGTGACATTCAACCTCATGCTGCAGCATTAAATTTTTTATGATTCCAATTCAGTGCTTTTCCTTGAGATTACTTCTGTATGTAACATGAGAAGTTGAGACATTTATTCGATTTGCTCAATTTTTATGTTTCCCCATTTATTTCTTTCTAGAGAGAAGTCATTCAGCTGTATACGGGACAAGCAGGAGTGCAGGTAAAAGAATCATTCCATAAAAAGACACACACAAAATAATAAAAATGAAACGAGAGAAAGGAAAAACTTTTTCAACGTTTATAACATTAAGGAGGGGAAGGGGCTTTATATATTACGTAACATGAATTCTTAAGCTACATTTGATAAGGGACCATTCACTTATTACGTAACGCTTTTAGGGGGAGGGGGGGGTCTAAGATTTTGTTACGGTTCAAACAAGGAAATTTTTTTTTCATACAAATTTTGTTACGAGGGGGGGGGGGGGGTCTAAGAAGTCATTTTTTCGCGTTACGTAATAAGTGAACAGCCCCTAATCCAAATGGTGCTTATGGTTTTTATATAACCTCAAAATAGGGAGTAGAGGTAAGGGTTGGGTGTCTGTTGCATACAAAAGGTTGAATTAGGAACTTTTTAATTTTTTTTTTGAATTTTCGACTTAGACTTAAAGAAGTGTCAACTAGTTGCTATCCTTCTCTCATAACCCAATCTCATCACAAATTTCACTATCAGAACCCTCCTCTTCATTAAAGCACAGAAACCTAACATTCAAAATACCCCCCTTTGGATTTACATTAAATATTCACCATACGTTAAAGTAAAGAAATCTCTTTACTATCGACATTTTTTGCATCTTTCATTTGCCATTACATTTATTTGGGTAATTTATAGACATGTAAGTGGGTTTTTGTTTTCTTGTTTTGAATCATTGAATGTTATGGTTTTCGTGCTGAGATGCCTTTTGTTGCGTAAAATTATATTGGAAATATTGGTTTAATAAATAATTGAAATTAACCGGTGAGAGGATTGAAATGTGTCAGATATATTGTGGTATTCAACCTAGTTAAACCTTGAGAAATGCTTGTCATTGGCAGAGAATTGGTTTGGTTTGAGGAACATTTTCTAGAAAGTTCAAGTTGTGGGAAGTATAGCTACAATTATTTCAAGTCAGTTGGTATTCTTTGAAAGTATGCTATTCTGAGCTAAGGTTCAGTTCTTATACTTCAGAAAGTATAAGCAATCATAAGCATTTAAACAGTTTTTAAAAGATAGGTTGCTACTAGGAATTAAATACATAGTTCTCAAAAAAGAAGAATCTATTAAGCCTAACATTTCCAGTTCTAATTGTCATGTTTATTTGCAACGAAACAACAGAATCTTAATATTCTAAGATTATCCTTGGAAATTGTTTAAAAGCGTCACATCCATAAGTCCCTACAAGGAAAATTAAATCACAACTTGTTCTCATGTTGTTTCCATTTCACCTTTTAACATCAAAAAACTTTTATTACTCTTCTTGTTCTAGTTCCTATTTTCTCTTCCTCTCCATTTTTTTCTGTTTCAATTCACATTTATCATGCAATAAGCTAACAAACAATATGTGTATTCGATAGAAAGCAACAAAAAAGTTTTCAACTCCCGTAGACATTCACAGACATGCATATTAGCATACATACATGCACGAGAATTATTATTTCTTGTTCATTTCCTTCTTCTTGTCTTTCTTTTTTATTCTGACGACAGATTGCAAGTGCCTGCTGGGAGTTGTATTGCTTAGAGCACGGCATACATGCAGATGGAACAATGTGTCAGGACAATAACATCGACAATGATTCAAATGCCTTCTTCAGTTCTTGCTATTGTCATACAACAAAAACTTTAAAATGCGTACCACGAGTAATTATGGCTGACTTGGAACCAATACCGATTGATGAAATTCGTACAGGATGTTACAGATCGCTCTTTGATCCATGTACATTGATAACGGGAAAGGAAGATGCAGCAAGTAATTACGGACGTGGTTACAATCATTTAGGTTGTGAACTTATCGACATAACACTAGAGCGAATACAGAGAGTTGTAGAATGTTGTGATTGCATGCAAGGTTTCATTTCGTTTCGATCAATAGGAGGTGGAACGGGAAGTGGATTTGGCACATTAATACAAGAGAAAATTGCTGATGAATATGGAAAAATCAGTCGACATGAGTTTAATATATTTCCCTCGCCAAAGTATGGAGTTTTTGGTTCGTTTTAGCACATTTTTCGGAGACACTGGACGCTCGTGCATCCCCTTCCTTCATGTATGCATACCTTAAAACTCTTGAAAAGTGTGCTATAATGATTATTGTCACACCATGTTGCTTATTCTACCATTTTTTTTCATACTCAACCCAGAATTTCGCCAATCATTGTCGAGCCATACAACGCTTTATTGGCAACACATTACAGCATGGACTATGCAGACTGCTGCATTTTGCTGGATAACGAAGCAATTTATGATGTTTGCGGATCAAGTTTAGACGTGCCAAATCCAACATATACAAATTTAAACCGTGTCATTAGTCAAGTCGTATCAAGTTGTACAGCATCGTTTCGCTTCTCGGGTGCGATAAATGTTGACATGGTTGAATTTCAGACAAATTTAGTTCCATACCCGCGTATACATTTTCCATTATGTACATACTCGCCGCTCATACCAAACGGTAAAGGTGCAATTGCTGATCTCTCAACGCAACAGATTACACACTGCTGTTTTCATCCGAGTTCGCAGCTTGTCAAATGTGACCCGAGAAAGGGAAAATACATTTGTTGTTGTATGCTTTATCGTGGCGATGTGGAACCAACTGAAATTAATTTTGCAATACGAGACATAAAGTGTAAGAAGGCACTACAGTTTGTTGAATGGAGTCCGACAGCATTCAAGATTGGCATCAATTATCAACCGCCGACGTGTGTTCCGGGCGGTGATTTGTGTCCTGTCAATCGAGCTGTATGTATGCTTTCGAATAAGTAAGTCGTAATTATGCGGTGTAGGAAATGAATTTTCGCAAAAAGGCTTAGCATGTTATTTATTTGGGGATGGGAAACATGCATGGTTTGTGACATGACACTAATATTATATTAAATCCAGCATAAATTCGTCTCATTCCTTAACACATTTTTACTCGTTTCATTCACAGTTCATCGATTCGTTGTGCGTGGGATAGAGTATATAGGAAGTATTGTCGACTAATTAAAAGGTCTGCATTTATACATCATTATGAATGTGAAGGTATTGAGAAATGTGATTTAATTGAGGCATCTGAGAATGTGCTAGCGCTTATAAAAGACTACGAGGAGGTTGAAATTGACTAAAATCTATATTAAATGGAATTATTTTTGTAGGCTTAAAAAGAGGGAATATAATCTTAATGAAGTTGTGCTAGATTAATGAAATAAAGCTAATTTATTGATATTTAATTAAAAAACACCCTGGAAAGGATCATAAAGCTTCCTTTTTATGTCTTGTTGGTATTTTTTGCCGATAAATGATTTTGAATGAGAAAATGGACAGAAAGCTACAAGATTTGTTGATGTAGTGTCAAACAGAGTAGAATCTGAAACTTTACAATTTCTTCTGAATGAGTGTGAGCTCGATTTCAAATAAAAAAATCCCAGAACAAGTCAATGGTGCTGCAAAAAGATATTAGCCAAAGCAACATGCTAAAGTTCAACAGTTTCAGAAATGCAAATTTGAGAATCGGTTCAAATTTGACTGAATATAGTGCAAATCGTAGACGTAATTCCTCGGAACTTTTAGCGGAATTCCTCAGAATTTTATTGCAACGGAATTTTACAATGGAATTCTACGTAATTACGCATATTTCCACTTTTCAATTTTGTTGCGTTTAATTTTTGCGATTCGCATTTTTCATGGAATGTTCTACAGAATTACGTGTAATTACGAGGAATTATTTAGAAAAATAAATTATATATTTTAAACTTTTATCTTAAAAAATGAAAAGTTGAGATGATTGTTTTATAAAGTGTTTAATGATAAGTATACATTTCTATATTTTTTTCCTCTTCAATTAATTTGAATTTAACTAAATTTAATTATTATATATTTTTTGAAGCTAATCTTTGCAAGAATTTTAATTCATTGATTCTTTTTAATTTTAAATCTTTAAGTGCTGAGTCCTTATTATCTGGCAGAATCTATGGATTTCCATGGAATTCCATGGATTTAAAGTACAAGGATTTCCATAAATTAAAACAATTTTGACCCCCAAATTTGTGGGGGCTAGACATTTGCACCGAAAAATGATAAGACTAGTGGATAAAATATCCGAAAAATGAAAAATCACGAAGGGACAATAAGGCCACTTATAAAATTTTAAGTTTTTTTTTTGAAGTTTTCAAAATTTGGAAAACATGCGGCAAAAAGTCAAGAAAATCCAAGAGAGTAAATACAAAAATATATATTATGTTAAAGAGACAATTAATTGATACATTGTTTGAAGTTTAAACATTATTTAAGATAGAGGATTAAGAAAAGTAAAGTTTAAGGCTAAATTTCACACTGGAAGTCAAATTTACCACAAATTAGTCAATATTCACACGAAAGTTGAAAGTTGTATAGATTTTTTCCTTTTTGAATTAATTTTTGAAAAATTGATGCAAAAAGATTGTTACGGCTGAAACAAAATCTAGTAAAATTGCTGAAAATTACACAGCTCAATTCAAAAATTGAAAAATCTTAAATAGCATTTATATGGAAAACTTAATCAAGTTGATACTTATATTTTATAAAAAAAACTTCTAGTCAAAAGTAGTAAAAAGTGAATTTACTTGCATCAAAAATAGTTTAAATTCGACAATTTTATGAAAAACAATTAAAAATACTAAAACTTTTTTTTTACCTGATCAATATTTTTTTGTAAAATTAAGAATGTTTTGCACAAAAAAACAATAAATCAACTCACTGCGAGGTAATAAATCCACTCAAGTTTTGAAGTGATCTTATTGCCTCATAGTGAGATATTAAAGACGATTCCAAAAAATGTTGCGAATTTATTAACTTCAAGTGAAGACAAAAATCTCTTATACAAATGATTTTATCCAAGTAAACTTATCGTCTTGCAGTGAAAATATTAAGACCACTTATAAGTGGCCTTATTGCCCCTTCGTGATTTTTCGTTTGGTTGTGGTTTCGTTGTGGACTTATCATTTTTCGGTGCAAATGTCTAGCCCCCACAAATTTGTGGGTCAAAATTGTTTTAATTTATGGAAATCCTTGTACTTTAAAGATTTTTATGATCTATGGATCGTTTGTTAAAGTCCATGGAAATCCATAGATTCTGCCACATGATCCGGACTCTTTAGATGGAATAAACAGTTTAAAACGTTAAAATTTTTTTAAAGGAATTCCTCAAAATAATATTTTATATAATTCCGCGTAAGTACGCTAAATTCCGTATAATTATGTTATAAAACTTGCGAATCGCAAAAATTAATCAATTCAGTTTTTTCCCGGAATTTATTTGAACTCGACATAAATATGCATAATTCCGTAGAATTCCTTAACTTCTTTATGAAAAATGTTCCGTATAATTCTGCAGAATTGCGCACAAATAATTCCACGTAATTACGTCTACGATTTGCACTACACCCTGGCATAAAAATCTAGGGTTTGTCCACATGCGCATCCATAAGAAAGGTTCCTACATCAGAACACCTCTAATTTGACCTTCGAACTTCTACGCACAAGATTTGGTGTCAAATCGATCAAAAGTGTCCAAATAATCATTATTGAGACATATTAAAACGAATCCAGCAAAAATTAGAAGTTTAAATTTTTTTTCTCAGATATACATACGCATTTTACGTGCGCATGCATGCGCATACATGCGCATGTTTTTGCATGTGCATGCATGCGCATGTCAATTTGGCGAACCCTATAAAAATCATAAAAACTAAGTGCCTAATTCATACAACAGGATCCTCAAGATTTCAGCATAAAAGCTTAAATCACTTGGGAATCTTATTTACCTTTTTCTTAAGTAAACGCGTTTAAAAAATTACCGACTGTAAAAATTCAACAACTTGCTAAATTGCTAAAACATGGATGAGACCTTAATGTTCACTTTCTGCAGCTTCTGGTTTTGAATACATTAAAGGAAATATTTACCATGGCAACGGTCAGAAAATTGAAATATTCGTGAATGGTCATGAATTTTTTTTTTGTGCTAACATGGAAATTTTTCTTGTAAAAGCAATTTTTTTATGATTCGGGAAATGTCAACATGTAAAATGTATAATGGGAATGATCATAAATGAAGTGCATAAATTAAAATTTTCAACCTCTTCTCTCCTCCCTTCAACGACAGACATTTTAACTCATGAATTTTACTAATCCAAAATCTAAATTTTAGACATCATTTGCAAACAACCCTCGACTCTACATATTTCAGGAAGCAACGTAATCTTGAAAATTATCATTTAATCTTTGCGCTTTTATTCGCTTTGTTTAAAAAGAGAGCAGCAAATTTTTCGTGAAATATTTAAGGTATAAAAACCTTAAAGAATCATAATCATAAAAGAATATACGGGATCCTGATACTATCTCCTCTTAAAGCTTTAATTGCTCTATATTATACAACTTTGTAGATTATTGAGGCTGGAAAATAAAGGAAAATTTTGAATAATTTATTTTATTTTCCAGCCTCAATAATCTACAAAGTTGTGTTTACAATTTTCAGAATTTGAGACATTTTTTTTGTTAAACACGCCGAAAAAAAGTATCGACAATTGAACAAAAAGTTGGGAAAACTCAATAAAAATTATTCTTCATGAGGCAAAACAATAACAATTTCAATTTCAAAAATGCCGTATTTATTCCGAGGGGATACCAACATGATATAAAAACCTACTGTCTTCCAAAGCAACTTTAGATTAACCTTTTAATTTTTGAAGCTCAGCTTCAAACTACCTCTATTTTAACGCTCAGCTTTAAACTAGTTCCATTTTAACGCTCAGCTTTAAACTAGCCTTTCTATTTTAACGCTCAGCTTTAAACTAGTTCCATTTTAACGCTCACCTTTAAACTAGCCTTTCCATTTTGACGCTCAGCTTTGAACTAGCTCTACTTTAACGCTCAGCTTTAAACCAGATTCTCCATTTTGACGCTCAGCCTTAAATTAGCTCCATTTTAACGCTCAGCTTTAAACTAGCTTTCAATTTTGACGCTCAGCTTCAGACTAACGTTTCAATATTGACGATCAACCATCAAAATGGTGAGGAATTTTTTCAATAATTTTTCATCATGTTGTCTTCCCCTGGCTTTATTCCCCTCTTTTTACAGTTTCTCATTTTATCGACGTTCTTCTTGCAAACCAAGAATAGCAAGTTGAGCGTTCATAAAAAATTTGTTTGTTAAAAAGCTTTACTTTTGCCTCATTTCATCCATTGAAAAGTGTCAAATATAAAAAAAAAATTATTTATCATAGCTTCTTATTTTTTGAGCAAGATTTTTGAATAAAACTGTCAAAAAATGCCTCTTGGACTTGCGCTCAGCCATTCCAGCTATTACCACAAATGCCATATAATTATGTTAATTTTTACTGGGCTTGTCGAGTTAAGCACTTAAATACAGTTAACAAGAACTACGTTGAATGCTAATTAATGTGGATTATTATGTCTGTCATTTTGTTAATTAATTTGAAAGAGAACCAAATGCTTCAGAAAAAAATGTACGAAAATTTTTTTTTTCATAATCTGTCTGGCATGAAATTCTGTTGAATAATTAATTGGTATTTTTGGAATGAACATTGAATGCATTCTTAGAATTCTGAGATTTCGAGTCTTTTTAAATTGTATTGATTTTTTTAAGTTTTTTAAGCAACCAGTTGTGAGAGATGTAGCTCTGTCCTAGTTGAGTGTACACTTATTATTAATTCCATAAATATCCATAAACATAGCTTTAAACATCTTGAAAAAATCTTGACTGCTATTTGAAGCATAAGAACTTTTCATTATCAACCCACATTTCATCCTAAACTTTACAAAGCTTTGTTCTACACTTCTCATTGCTTATGTAAGTTGAACAGTTCAGCTTGAACTTTTGCCAAAAATAAGCAAATTTCTTCTTCACTTTTTACAGCCTTACAGGATGTTGGAATGTAGAAGTATGAGGGAAAAGTTTTTGATTTAATTATTGTTATAGCTTTATGAGATTTTGTTTCTGCATGTTTATGCCAAGTGATAAGAATTTTTTTTATAAACTTTATGAGATTTAATAGAATTTGTTGTTGATAAATGGGGGACGATTAGATTTATAGCATAAAGTTGTGGATGAAGACTGAAGATACGAGTGGACGACAAGCTATTCTTCTTGACAACACAGTTAAAGCAGGGGCGTAGCATAAAAAAATCCAGGGGTTACAAATTTTTCTTTTATTCCTTAAAAGAGTTAACTACAAA